TGGCTGCTCTTGCAGAGGACGCAGGTTCGATTCCCAGCACCCACATTCCAGCTAACAACATCCATAACCCCCTTTCTAGGGGATCCAAAACCTTCTGACCTACACTGGCATTGCACTACACAGGTGCACTTACATGCAGGCAATACACTCATATACATAAAATAAGAAATAAAAAGTGGGATGATTCAAGTACACAAAGAGTAGTTGCTTCCTTGCAAACTGTCTATTAGTACTGCTCTTCTTTCAGAAATTGAAGTCAGTCTGCTTAATGTCCAAATGTTCCCACAAGGGATAAGTTAGATGCTTTTAGTAAGAAGATGAACTCACTCTCAGGTCATTCCAACAGCACAGGGGCTGTTGAGCTTGGGCTGTGTTCTACTGCCTTCCTCAGAGAAGGGCCATGCGCTGATCTGTATACCAATGTATGTTTAACAATGGGAGCAGTCAGACAGAATTAAAATGTATTCTAGAGAAATGTGTTGTCTATAGCTATTTTATGCTCTCTGTCTTTCAATAGGATTTCCATGAAATGAGCCATGGTTTGCTTCTCATGCTGGAGAACATTGACAGAAGGAAAAATGAAGTTGTCCCTATTGATTCTAACCTTGACCCAGAGATACTTCAGGACCATCACAAACAGCTCATGGTGAGAACGCTAGTTATTTTTATTAAGGATGCATTTTTTACCTCTTTCATGGTAGTCTCTAAAATTATGCTCTAACTTAAGTCTCTAACTTAATTCCTTAATCTTTCCAAAAATGTGTAAATCACACCCACCAACATTATTAACCATCACTTGGTTGTTCTAATCTTAACTGTTCTTAATCTCATTTATCTTGTGTTTATTAAGCCAGATTTTTGATGAGTTGTGCTTGCTTTTAATTAGAACTGTATATGCTCTACCTGTATTCTCTAAGTGTGTATCTGAGTTTCTTTTCCTGATGCTGTGATAAAATACTCTGACAAAAGCAATTTAAGAGACAGGGACTATTTCTGGCTCACAATTAGAAGGTATAGTCCATCATTGCAAGTCAAAGCAGCAGGAGTTTGAAGCAGATGGTCACATGGCATCCACAGTCAGGAAGCAGAAAGGTAAAAGCTGGTGCTCAGCTCACTCCCCCATTTCACACAGTCCAGATGCCCTGTGCAGGTAATGGTCCCACCCCCAATTAAGATAATCTCCCACAGGCAGGACCAGAGACCTGTCTCCCAGGTGATTCTATATTCTGACAAGTTGAGAGTTAACATTAAATATCGCAATATATTTAGTGGCATATTGTGAAAGAACATTAAAACTATTAAAACTAAGAGAGACAGTGACAAGGACTTAAATATGCCAGGTGAAACGTGAAGCTGAGTGCCAGGTTTGCAGAAATTGATAAGATGACTTATTCTCGTCTCACAAAACAGACATACATCCAGTTCTTAGGAAGCAAGAGGCTTTTTCTGGCATTAAATTCAAGCAGAAACTTACCAGGCAGATTCATATACAGGATGTTGAGACAGCATAATGGTACAGTACAGCATAGTTAAGTGATTTTTTCTAAACAGTAAGGAAGCATACTTGAGTTCCATTAGGAGAAAATGCTTCAAATTTATAGGTCTCCATAATTTTAAAATGTTATGTCATAGCATTTAGCACTCACTAACCTGAACTACCGAATTGGTAGCTTTTAATTCAGTGCTAGGAGGGTCTTAGAAACCAAGATAGTAGTGCTGCTGTATTTTTACTCAACCTCGACCTCTGGCATTTAGCTGTAAATGACAAGTCACCCTAGAGTGTTTTAAAAGTTTTGCCTAGATAGCAGAGCCTACCTAGGCATGTTTGAGTTTTACTGCATCTAGATGTTGTTCTGGTTTGTTTCTCCATTGCTGTGACAAAACACTCTGACCGCTACCAACTTGGGGAGGAAAGGGTTTATTCAGCTTACATTTCCCAGGTCACAGTTCATCAAGGAGCCCAAGGTAAGAACTCAGGGTAGGAACCTGGAAGCAGGACCTGGAGCACAGGCCATGGAGGGATGCTGCTTCCCTGGCTTGCTTCCCTGGCTCCTGCTTTCTTATGCAACACAGGCCCACCCACAATGGGCTGGGCCCTCCCACATCACTCATCAAGAAGATGCCCCTCAGACATGGCCACAGGCCAGTCCAATAGCATCAATTCCCCAACTGAGGCTCCCTCAACCCAGGTGTGTCAAGTTGACACTAAAGCTATCCAGCACAGATGTTAACATTTTTTTTTCTTATAGCCCATTTGCAATAGTACTTTACATTATAAGTATCTTTCCAAACCTCACTCAACTTAATCTTACCAGTAATTCTTACTATAGACCAGGCATCCAATGAAAACACAAATCAGGGAGGTTCAGAGACCTCTCAGAGCATCTTTGGCAAAAGCAGGGTTTGCACAGTCCCCAGGTCCCATTTCAGGAGCTCAGCCCTGTTTAGAGGGCGAACAACACATTCTCAGTTCTGGTTATGATGACCCACATGGAGAACTTCCTCCAACCACCACAACTTTTTAGAAAGATGTTTTCTTTTATGTACATAGCAAATAAAGCACGAGCTGATGGAAGCCCAGCTCAGAGTGGCCTCACTGCAAGACATGTCTCGCCAACTCTTGGTGAATGCCGAAGGTTCAGACTGCCTAGAAGCCAAAGAAAAAGTCCATGCTATTGGAAACAGGCTCAAACTTCTCTTGAAGGAGGTCAGTCATCATATCAAGGATCTGGAGAAGTTATTGGACATGTCAAGCAGTCATCAGGTAAGCCCTCCCAGACATCGAAGTGTCACATCTCCTACTGGAGACTGAAGCATCACATCTCCATCTGTTGTAGAAAGGCTCAAATGTAGCACTTGTCAGAACAGAGTGGCCACTTTCAATCACTGTTCTTTCAAGAACTGTCTCAAAATATAAAAGCAGACTCATAAACTTTTATAACAGGACAGTGCTTTTGATTCTATCAAATCCAAGAGACTTCTTAATACTGTCACTGTCAACCCCGTTACTGTGACTACTGTGGTGATGTATGTCACTTATTTAAGAAACCTCACATTTTCCTTTACACGGCCATGGTACAGCAAGCCAGTCATTGCATGGGAGTTTGTATTAAACACCCCAGAAAGCATGAACTTTCCTTATGAATTCATTCATTCATTCATTCATTCATTCATTTGAAAACAGTCCTGTGCTCATTTATCTTATGGAGTCTGCTCTACCATGGTAATCATTGATTTTGAGAGACGTGCCTGTAGATAAAGTGGTGCTTGTAGGGTTTCAGACATTCAGTTGTGAAATCCCATCACAAACGTACAAATGCTTCATCCTTTTGTAAGCAGGCCAAGCACAATCCCTTCTGAGTCACAGCAGGCCGAAGCAGTACAATTGTTCTGATTCCACACTGCAGACTCCTAGAAGGCTCTCTTTTGTTTCTAACTGAAATGAATTAGATTCTGTCTGTCTGAGTGACCTGCACTTGTGAAGCAGACTTTTCCCACTCTCCTAAGTCTATATTAATTCACACCCATGTCACTAAGAAATAGTAAAGCACAGTAATAAAACTCTGGCTATGTTTTCCAGAAGGGCCAAAATTACAGCCAAGAAATCTCAACAAAACTAGAATAATTTGGTTCCATTCCATTTCTCCCATGAGCTGGTCTGATTTTTCTGATGGACACATAGAGATAAAGATGAATAGAGCTGGGGTGGGAAGCACACAGCTTATACAGAGCCCTCAGGACTCTGGGACATAGAGTTGTTAAAACGATGCTTTTCCTTTGTAGGATTTGTCTTCCTGGTCCTCTGCAGATGAACTAGACACCTCAGGATCTGTGAGTCCCACATCAGGAAGAAGTACCCCAAACAGACAGAAATCGGTAACTTCCTACAGCCCCTTTTCAATTGGCCCATGGAGCGGGGTGGGGGGGCAGTGAAAAGTGATAGTTTTTATGCCTACAGGGTCCACATGCTCAAAACGGTAGTCCCCAGATAGGAAAGAGCACCCATCCTTGTAAAGGTGCCCCCTCAGCCTTGTAGCATGCCCTCAGGATTGGAAAAGAGCATTTTTAAATGCCCTCAGTGTGTGGCTGATATGTAGGTAGAACAATGATTTTTTTTTTCTTGCCTAAATGGCTGTTTCCTGAACTGGTGCACATGTGTACCCTCTGGCTCCTTCCCTCAAAGTACCACTCCCAGGCCCACTGATGGGCAAACTGTGAAGGTCTCATGGGTCCCCTGAATTGATAAGACAATTGTTATATTGACTCTCAAGTAGAGAGGCTTCTAAGTGGTGATCCTGAAGGGCTTCTGAACATTAACCCTGAAATGGTAGCTACTCAAGTCCACCCCATACTCAGTCTGTGGTGGGGACTGCCTCACTTCAACACCCCAAGGATGAAAAGACAAATTTGCCCCCTGCCACCCTCTATATCTTGATTTCTCTGTGTAATTAGAAGCTTGTTTTTATTTTTGTTTGTTTTTTTTTTGTTTTTTTTTTTTTTTTTGGTCTGGCTTTATGAGCATATTCATTCCATTTTCCCTTACTTTTTAGAAGTAATAATTTCATTTGTATTTTTTGTTGTGTATACTTATGTTGTATGCTGGTAAATGTATTATCCTTTTTAGGATTTTTTTAACCAACATTCACTAGTTTCCTATAGATCCTAGTTTAAGAATGTAAAGGAATACTGGCTTTTCAGTTAAAATTTTGGTCTTAATTTATCTTGAGTATGTAACTTGTTGGGCTTTATCTCTACAAAGAACCATGTCATTTTCCTACCAAACCTTCTAATATTGTCTCTATGACCTCAAATTTGCAACCCGTATAAATTATCCTGTATCCTGTATCTATAAGGATACAGATTAATAACATGAATTGTATGTTTAGAATGCTTATTTAGCATAGAGTCATTTGTGTTTCCACATGAAAAGAGGGAGCAACTGTGCCCACTGTGTGTGGATGCCAGAATCACAATATAAGTTGATTTAATGACTGATGCTGTAACCATGAATTTGTTCCACTTCTTCCACAGAAGAAAAGCCAGTTTCCTTGGTTCATGGGTACCGATCATTGCATTACATTCGGTTTGTTTTTTCTTTGCTGCACTTTTAGTTATTTTCATCGGTAGCTTGTCTTTAATTGCCTGGACTGAACATTTTTCTTTCTTTACCCCTGTTCATTGCAAACAGCCATGAGGCAAATGTAGTCTCTCACAGCCTAGACCCTCTGTCAGCAGTCCAAAGAGCAGGTACCTTGTTCTCCTGGTTTCCACACTGTTTTATAACCCCAAGAGGATGATGAAAATTGCTCATGATTTAGGGAAGCCTCCAATCTGGTGTGCTTCAGGGTAGTTAAGAAATTATGCCTTTTCCTAGTAACTCGGAAGAGAAGTTTCTCCACGGAGAAAGGTAAATGTCATATCATATGATACTTGGATTCCATCAAAACTTTGTTTTGCTCTACCTATCCCATCTAGTCCTTTTCATCAAAAGATGCTCCATGTGTCCATAAATGTGGGTTACAGTTGGTGGCGCAACTGCCATTGATTCATGGCAGATTTTTATCATCCTCTTCTTTCAACATTTTACAATAAGACAGGTAATTGATCTGTGAATTATTTTACCACTCACAGAACCCACAAATCTGCATAAAATGCACTAACATCTCCAAGTTTTTATTTTACCTTCCTTTTTTATCCAGATTGTGGGTTTTGGATTCTCAAAATGGCCAAGTCTCATTTAGTGTTCTTCACTTAAATTACAAGTACCTTCTAGTCTTCTAAGACTCTTTTGCTCACCCTAAAACTCCTCCCCTGCCAGCACAGAGCCACTTACATTCTTCACACTCAGCGAGCACTTTCATTCTGAACTCAAGATCAGTCCATGCCCTGCTCAGTCACCTACTGAGATCTGACCCCCAACTGCCACCACCACCCCTCTGCCCGTGCTTGCCTCTGGGTCCCTCGTTCATGCAGTTAGCCATGCTTCGCCTTCTCTGTTGTTGCTGTGATGTCATGCCTGTGCCTTTGCCTTCCACTCATCAGTTCATGTTTCCCAGTACGTTTTTTCGAAATGAAAATACTGTCCTTGCAGCTGGCTTTTCATTCCCATTCCAAGTAGTTCCCTGTGAAAGTTTCTGCCCCTCTGGAAACTTATCACCACTGAGAAGAGATCTAAATTCCTGGAGGGAGGGTGGAGAAAAGGGAATCTAGAACTGAAAGCAACCCCTGAGTAATAAATAGTAGCTTTAGTGCCCCATCTATGTGCTGGAGTGCTGGCTCTTTTGTGTGGCCTTCCTCACTCGGCTGATGGGATGCAGAGGGTGTTTTGGTTTACGCATCCTCTTACTATAATTTTTTCTCCTTTTCTGTATGAAGATAATATTACAGAGTTTTTTTTATAATCTGTAATAAATTAGCAATAATGAAATATGGAATGAACCTCCCAGGGACTTTGGAAGATAATGGTGAACATCTGTAGGTGCTCTTAAATCATCTTAGCCCACTAGGAAGCAAGGCAATCACATAGTATAGGCAGATCACTGTATTATATGTATCCTCTTCTTCCTACAAATGGAGGATCTGCCATGACCACAAATGAAGAATATCATACATATAGGATTCCTCTGAGGAAACTAGAGATTCCATCTTTAGTTGGTAAAAGTGATGCTGGTGGCAAGGGAAAACCTCTTACATAACAGCTACAGTAATTATTTTTTGGTTCCCAAATATTGAAGTTACCTGTTATCCCAATGATTTCAGACAGCCATATAGATCTTTTTAAAATGTCTAAGGCGTTGCTTCTTAGGGCAAAGGTTGCTTCCGTGTGCCTTCTAACAGGACTTTTGCCTCTGGGTCGGCCACATGCTCACTCCTCTGCCCAGCACCGCTGATTACCGTCTTTCTGAAAATTCAGCTTAGTGTTCACTTTGTTACTTAGGAGGGAATGCGTTACAAAGAGTCTTCACCTGATTGGCAAGCTCTGTCAAACACTGGCAGACAGGCTATGGCTCAACCTTCTTGGCCTTCTGAACTCCATGGCACCTTGAATTGGGTGCACCCAACCCTGACTGTAAAACACAGAGGCCACTAAGGGAATGGACTTCACTCACAGTCCAGGCTGTCCCACTGTTCCTTGGCATAGCTACTAGAGATACCTTGTGTTTGATCTTGCACTGGTCTAGCAAATTTGAAAGGTTATTGAACAAGCAGGAGGAGACTATTACCCTCAGAAATCTGTAATGAAAACATTTTAGACAGATTCTTTTATCAGAGAACAGAAAGAAAGTGCTTTGCAAGGACTGTGTATTATCTTGAAGGGGATAGTAATGGTCTTTGTTGTTTAAATACAAAAGTTAATTTCATACTCACCTACTTCATGTTTCAGTTGGATTAAAAGGTAGCAATTCCATATCCTTGTTTAACATTATAATATTCTAATATGGGTTGAGGCCAGAGTTACTGAGCATCTACTCTGTTGGGTCCTAAGCCTACAGAGTTAATACATGATGTTTCCCCCCCATTGAGAGATTTGCAGTGTATCAGAATCTAGAGATTCCTTGAATCAGTTCTAGAGAGCTTCCAGGAGCTTGCTAAAATTATAAGAAACTGAAAAAGATCTGTGCCCACATTTACAATAACTCATAATATTCATGGTTTTTATTTGAGATTAAAAATGTATTGTAGAAATGTGCTTTCAAAGCAATGCTCATGATGGTCTGGCTCGTACTTTTTTCCTACATCTGACTTTGGATTTTCTAACCCTGTCACCAAAAGCTCTTCAATATAGATATGCTAGTATAGATGAGTTGTGGTTAAAAATGGGAAGATTTCGTGCCAATTTTCAGCAAAATGAGACTATAATTCTCTGTAGGCCATGCAGGATGAGGAGTGATGACTTCGTTCTAGCACTGAGAACAGTGGAACGCAGGACTGCCCTGGACTCTATTAGTCTTGGTACCAAGAATTAAGGCAGAGTGAGAGTCGCAAAGGACTGGCTGAAGTCCTGCTAGGGAGGGACAGGAGGCCTCATTTTAAATTTGTTCAAGGTAGTCAACTACATCTAAGCAAGCCAGTGTGGTTTTTGCTTATACACTAAGTTCTCCCATTAGTGCTGTTCGGGTTCTAGTGGAATTTGTTTTCAAATTTCTTCTGTTGGACTCTTTCTTCCTGGGGGCTCTGTTTATTCAAACCACTCAAAGAGCCCCAGAATAAAGGAGTTACCTTTGCAAGGCAGGCTACCCTCATGCACCAGGACAGCTCTAGGATGGGCTCTACCAGTCTTTTCTTTTACTATTTTGAGGTAGGCTTTCCCAGTGTTTGGGGGAGAAGCAGTCAAGCAATTTGGGAAATTCGTTACCTCTCTGAAAAAAGGCTGTTAGTAAATCAGAAATGTTCCCCCTGGGAGAACAGACTGAATCCAGCCACTCCCAGGGACTCCACGCCACACACCTCCTATACAGTCATACAGAATCCAGCCACTCCCAGAGACACCACTCCACACACCTCCTGTACGGACATACAGAGAGTAATGAGGAGATGCTAGCATTTGCTTAGTACTAATGTGCTTCAAGCACCGTGCTGGGCATTGTGTGTTACCTCATCTAACTTTAAAACCCCATGACATGGCTAGATTTCCCAACTTACAGAAGGACAAAGGATTAGAGGTATGAACACAGGTACCACCTGACTCTGGACCCTCACCACTCTACCAAAAGGCTGCTATGGTAAAATAAGTCAAACAAGTGCACAGGACCAGCCAGGTGTCCAACTTAGAGTAAGAGAACAGAGATCTAGATTGGTTCTAGAAACTCATCTTCTGAACCACATATCTGGGAAGTACTGGATTTCAAAGACCATAATATAGAAACTGAGAAAGTTCTGCATAAAAAAAGTATTTACCATACTGCCATTGCTAGCTACCAGGTGTCAAAATTATCTGAAAATACATTTTCAGTCAGTTTTACATGACATATGCATGGAGTAATCTCACTATATTTTCCTTGATGGTACAGAATTTTCAGAACGAGTCACATCTGTGTGCAGATTCTCGAATCTCTCACGTCTCTTTGTCATGTGCACTTTCTTTTGTGTGGTGTGTGTTGTTATGTCCTGCTGTCTCCCTTACCATTAACCTTCCTCTGTATGTTTTGGAAAAGTGACAAAAATTTCTAGGCAATTACATATCCATCAGCTTGAAGGAGGTGGAAGAGGGAGATACGGTAAATATTGACTTACAGAGAACATGCACGTATTTTCTGGACAAAATTATTTAGTTCCTTGAGTAAAGTCACACATTTAATTTTCTCATACAAATGCAGTCTACACTGGCATCCATGTATATATGAAAACTGATAAAAATGTCCAGGAACTGGTCGGCTTGTCCCCTTTGTTCTTCCCCTTTTGAATTTCCCAGGACTCTTGAAACGGGTGAATTTAGATCAACAGGTTAATATTCAAAAGTACATTTATACTTTGAGATCATTAACCTACTGGTACTAAAATCTCCAGGAAAGAGTTGCCCTGGATAAGAAGCAAATTTGGCTCTGTTGAAACTCTACCAGAACGCCAAGAGGAAGGGCATTTTTCTCAGAGTAGACATTTCAGTAAACTGCGTAGACAGTCACCAAGTACTGTGTGTTCTCTTTCTCGCAACCTCAGTCCATTAGTTCTCCCTAAGTTGGCATTCTTCAACATTAGAAGTCAGGTGGGTGGCAATTAAATTTTAATAAAGAATGCTCTGATGTTGTTAAATGTGCCATGTCCTTCAAAAGATTCAGTCACATGTGAGTCCGTGCTCCCAAAATGATGACCTTTCCGGATTTTGTTAGGAGCCAAGGCACAGCCTCCTTTTTGATCTTGATCTTTGACTTCACCAAAGCTAATAATTGACAAAGATGAGCTACCAGCTCTGTTGAATTGTATTATCAATTGTATGTGGCCCTCTGCCCATCGCTAGTCTTCAAATGTCTCCCAGTGAATCAGATATTTAGTCATGCAGGATGTGGAGCTCTCTTCTGTTGTCTTATCACTCATCCAACTAGAGGAGGTGGTGAATGTTGTTTGCCGGGGCCAATTTTCACGTCAACATACACTGAAGAAACATATACTAAAGAAAAATTCAATACAGAGTTTGCCATCCTTTTATCCCATCCTTCTCAGGACATTTTAAAGCAAATGATTGAAAACAAAGTCCAGAGAGTATAATGTTGCTGCCTGTGATTCTGCCCCTACCTGAAAATAAAACATCCTTATATTGATATGATGGGTGATCGGTGCCTTTATGACTGGAAGCATTGGTCTTAAGCACAGGGAAGCCACTTCAAACACTTTAGAGTGCAAGTCTTCTCTTTGCTTCTGCATGTGAGATATATGAGGTATAAATATGACCTACATACCTGTCATTCATGGCCCCAACCAATACATCATGATATGGGGTTACAATAGAGAATGTGGTGGGCAGGGATCAGGGAAACATTTTGCCAAATCTCTTTAACTTTGAAATTTGGTTGTTGATAGAGTCTGAGTTCTGTGGCTCTGGAGATGGCTTGGTCTGTTAAGTGCTTCCTGTACAAGCATAAAGACCTGAGTTTGAATGCCTAGCATCTAAGTAACAAGCTGCGGGTGGTGGTGTGCATCAGTGATCCTCGTGCTGAGGAGGCAGTGATGGGGATCCCTGCAGCTCATTGGACAGCTAGTCTTGCTGAATTGGTGAGCTACAGATTCAATGAGAGGACTTGTCTCAAAATAACAGGAAGGAGAGCAATAGGGAAAGATACCTGATGTCAGCATCTGGCCTCTACCTATACACACACATATGTGGGCACATAGTCATGCATACACAAATACACACACACACACACACACACACACACACACACACACACACTACACACAAATATAGTTGAAAGAAAAAGAAGACAGAGCCCAAATTCTGATCACTGAAGTCTCAAGGCTGGATTCTTAATTCTGCCCCTTGCTAGTGGTGTAAAGTTGAGCCTTTTACTTCATTATCTGAGCTCCCTTTTCATCATCTATAAAATGTGTGTTAATAAACACACACTTCAGATGCCTATGATGGGGATTAAAGTAGAAAACTCAAGATAAATGCTTAGAGTGCTGTCCTACAATTTTCAGAATAAATGTTAACCCTCCTCAGCTACTTAGCTATAAAGTGAGAAGGTGGAACACATACTCTTTAAGACCCTCTCTCAACATGAATATTTTATAACTAGGTAGCTGGGGATGTTTCTATCTCCCCTTCCATTAGTAAAGCACATAACATATTTCTTTTATCCTCTACTGTTTTTTCCTCAAAATGTACATTTTCCCCCATCCAGCTCATTAGGAATAATTTACTAACTTAACATAAGGACAGTTAAGCAGTTTGCCCACTAGATGGTGATTGAACTCTTATGGCTGCTCAGTGGGGGCCCCATTTATACTCACAAACTAGTAGAAGTCATAAATTACACTAAACATAGAGCTGAAAACTTAGAAGATCCTCTAGCCTGATTTGAAAGGCTGTCATACAACTAACATGAGTTGGTCAAGATCACACCACTTTTAGTTGTGAACTTCAGGAGGAAACAAGGTTTTAATTTAGGCCAATGATTTTTTTTTTTTTTTTTTTTGGTCTTTTTGAGACAGGGTCTCCCTGTAGCTCCCGCTGCCTGGAACTCACTCTGTAGACCAGGCTGGCCTCGAACTCATAGAGGATCTGCCTGCCTCTGCCTCTCGAGTGCTGGGAGCCAATGATTTTTTTGTTTTTTCCATTACACATCAAGAACCATACTGGAAATGCAGTGCTTCCTAGGGCATCAGTGCCAGCCTCTGTCCCATCCTTCTTTGGTGGTTTAATGACAGAGATTTGAGTAATCTGTTCCCTTCAAGAAGACTATAGCTATATTCCTATTTGAATATTGATTTTCTCAAGTGCCACTCCTTATCCCCTACTGTTCAGAAATTAACAGCCAACAGGGAGCTACAAAGTTTTCTTATGAGCCAAAACTTCAGACTTACCAACATATCTTTTACATCTTATTCTTTCAACAACCTAACATGTGATGTCCTTACCTCCAATCATACTAAACTCATTAGGGAATTCATACTAGGGCCTTAGGAATGTGTCTTCCTGGAATATCTATTACTTTCACTCACACAGTGTTGTACGGGTGTGCACAAGATGCCTCTTGTAAGTAAAATCCCTGTGTTTGTCTTTTCCACAAGTAGTCCAACAAAACCCTGCTCCCCCCCCAAAAAAACTGTCATACGCAACTCAAAATCTGCTTCTATATTCAGTACTTATAACCACTGTTTCTTATGAATACTAAAAAATCTATGCTTTATCTCTAATGTACTAATAGGGGTAGCAAAATGTAGAGCTTAGAGTCGAGGAGGAACCTTTAAGATGGTAGTCTGTCCTCTCCAGAAAAATGAGGTCAGTTTTCCAAAGCCAGCAAACTAGTGATAGGACCAAACTGGGATCTACATCTCTCAGCAGCAGTGCTCTGTAGATAGATTCCATTGCTATTTTCTGTGCGGCTTTGAATCTGCTTAGGTCAGGACCAGATGCTGGTTTGGTGCAAGATGAAACCAGGGCCTGCTCTAAGAGTAAATAGCTCTCCTGAATCTGAGCAAAATGACTGGGGTTGTTTTTATCCTTGATTTGGGCATGTCCAAATGGTTAGATGGTGTGTGCTCTAGGGTTCTGACAAAAATTAATTTTTGCTAACAGTATCTCTGATATTCTTAAGACAAAAATATACTGTATAAAACATCTACATTTTAATTATCCTGGATTTAATTTCTACAAGTATCATTATTGATGGAAAAGGTTTTACCAAATTGAGGAATAAAGGAGTGCTTTGAATGTCATCGCCTTCAGTTGACTGACTAGATATTTACATTTTGTCAGTATGTTTTCAAACCAGTTTCTTTGGTGGTGGGGAAGGAACTGGGGCAACCTGCAGAAGGCTAGAAGTTGTTCTTTGGATGGTGGGGAAATGACGGGCGCCTTGCGGAAAGCTGGCTGCTCATTGCCAAGTTGGGTTGTGTTTTGCATGGCCCTTTGTCTTCCAGGAAGGAACAGAAGCAAGCCCCAGCACCATCCAGTTTTTGCGTTCAGTTGTTTATGTTGATTCTCCTCTTAGGTCCACAAAAGGTGGCTCAGGTTCCTCCCTTTCTGAGCCGAGGCCCCCGCGGGCAGGTCGAGCCTTCCTGGTCCGAGTGCTCCGGGCAGCGCTCCCCCTTCAGCTGCTCCTGCTGCTCCTCATTGGGCTGGCCTGCCTCGTACCGATGTCAGAGGAAGACTACAGCTGCGCCCTCTCCAACAACTTCGCCCGATCATTCCACCCCATGCTCAGATACACAAATGGTCCTCCTCCGCTCTGAACCAAGCCGATGTCATCAGTACAAACGTCGACAGCATGAGGACTGGGCCGAAAGCAACCCCGGGCTGTTGAAGAGGACCTTGATCTTGGCAGAAGCCTCGGCGGCAGCTTCAGCTCTCCTCCTAATGTGTATGTGTAAATCATGCCTTTGGAGTGGATGACAAACAGGAGGAGACTAAACAGAAGGTTTGGGAAAGATACTTGATGCTTTGGACCTTAACACAAAAGAGACTGAGTTAAGGTCATGAAGAATTCCCTGGACCCATGAAGTCTGGGCCTTTGGCCCATTGGCTGCATAGCCAAGGGCTCCAGTGGGCCATCCGGGCAGCTTTCCCGTGGTGCTGCTCCATCCACCCAAAATAAATGCCCTCCCAAGCACCGTGTCAGTATCGTATAATCTACCAACCAATGCTGAAGATGTGTTCAAACTTGTAACACACCGTTTTTAAGAGCTTATATGGCAGCTTCCTGTTTTCTTTGTTTTCCTTTGGGGCATGACTTTCAACGTTTGCTTTAGAAGCACAAGCTGTAAATCTAAAAGGCACCTTTTTAAAAAAAAAAGTATAAAGAAAACTTAGATGTAATAAATATGATCATGGAAAGCTTTATGTGAAAAAAGATGAATATTATAGTATAAAAAAGATATTTATGTATGTACAGTTTGCTAAAGCCAAGTTTTGTTTGTATTGATTTTTTTGCATTTATTATAGATACTGTAAAATATTTTTACATGTCTGAGTCTTTTCTTCTCCTAACAAAATGAATTGAGTTTTCATTATTCAGTAGAGTAAATTAGGATGCAACTGAAATTACATGTTTTGGTTAGACTGTACTTTATGTATAGCAATGCAATTTATACTATGATAGAATGATTTGATGTAGTTTTAAACAGAAGAAAAAGAAAATTTTCAGGTTGTAGAACCCTTCCCCCCAAGAACAAATTTGCAAAACATCACTTTTTCTAAGTGGGACAATGCAACAAATGTATTCACTGACTAGTCATATCTAATTCTTATTACACTAATGGTCAATGGAATTTTTAAAAAGCTCAGTTTTCACAATCACTGCCTTAAAGGAATAATATATGTTGGATTCTTCTAGGATGCAAAAATGGCTCTGGATACTTAAGTATACAGCCAGCAGACTGAACTCACATATCCACCATGAAAACTAGAAAAAAATCGCTTTGTATCTTCTCTCATGACTCGTGCGTCCTTGCGTGCATTCCGTCCTTCCTCATCACCTAATATTACCCTCTTTGTTTGCTTTCTAAAATTTCTTTTTTTTTCACCCACACTTACACCTTTTGTTTCTAATGAATGCAGCTAGAGCATGAGGCTCCATGGAAGGGAAAGGGTGGCTAGCAGCAGTGCATATACAGGCAGAGGAATCCAGAGGGAGTCTTTTCTGTATGGCCAATCAAATCTCTTGGATTCCTGTTTCCTCTCATGTTCTCCATTCTGTTCCCTTTGTACAACTGGAAAAGCCTCTTAAGATTCCTTTCAGCAGCCCCTTCTCCCATCCACCCCCAGGATGTACGTGACCATATGTGTCTTCTTACAGTCCTCTCTTACTCAGACTCCTCCTTTCCTATAAGCCCTTAGCTAACAGGTAAGGTACAATGTTTGTTATTCATGTTTGAATACAAAAGATGCCCCCATGGCTGGAATCACACTCGCAGGCTAATTAGGAGGACTGAGAATTGGAAGCCAGCTTGGGGCTACATAGTGAGACCCTATCTCAAAAAATAAAAAGTTGAGACAGGCATGGTGGTGCACACCTTTAATCCCAGCACTTGAGAGGCAGAGGTAGGCAGATCTCTGTGAATTTGAGCCCAACCTGGTCTACATAGTGAGTCCCAAACCAGCCAGAGCTACATAGTGAGACCCTGTCTCAAATATTTTTATTTCATCCTCCCTCTGTGACCTTGGCAAGTGACAGCCCTCATGGAATCATTTGATGTACATGACAGTTTATCATTGAATAATTTTAGAAGGAATGTATAAAAATTCATATTTTAGACTACTTTTGGAAATGAAGGTTCTGGTAGTTTGAGTGCGTGTTCTAAATGGCAATGGTTACTGGGTGGTACTGCCAGCTCTAAGCACTGGAAGGAATGAGATGACTTCCCATTTGTATCTATGGCCCGTTGCCTTCTCATTGTTTGTGTCATGATATTCCCTATAATTGTTTTGAGTTTATAGTTTCTGCTCTAAATAAAGCATTTAGGCTAAACCAAGGTCCTTGAAATTCTCCGAGGCTGTCTCTGGCTGTCTCTGGAATTCCATGACACAGTAGGTTGAGTCCCACTTGACCAGGGTTTTTCCTGGGGCTTTGTAAGCTTACCCTGTACTGACTTTGGATCTTTTCATCTACCCCGGGGGTGGGGCCTGGGAGCTGCATACTAGGTACCTGCCTCTATTTATTCTCACCACTCCTCTCTTCTCACATAAAACAGTTCACAAGCTTGAAGAATATTCTGTCTATTTCTAGACTACTTAAGACGTCCCCACACTGAACTTTCTCCATGTGGCATTTCCAGCTTGAGTACTGGGCCTTCTACTATCAGGCAATGTTTGTCTCATGTCCCTGGGATATCCCCCGGAATGCTGTTATTTTAAATGGAAGAAAAGCAGTGTAGAAATACCCTGTCCAGCTGCTTTTGAAGAGAGTGCCAACAGTCCGGCACTCACAGCTGAAGAGATCCCTTAGCCCAAGTCTTAGATGGGTCACTCCTTAGGATTCATTCCTCCCCACATAACCTTCCCTGTTGATTCTGATCAAGCAGAGAGGCCTGGCCTCCAGCTCAGTGCAGCCCTTCTAGAGCTGTACCATGGTGAGGCAGGGTGGCGGGGAGCAACACTTGAAGGAATCTCGGAGCGTCTCTCCTCCGTACACAGCTGACTCACTTTCTGTGTTTCTCCCATCACCGAAAAATGTTAAGTATGTCAGAGAAAGCAAAACAAACATTTTCCCATGCTGTCAAGCAAACCCAGGACTCTGTACATATTAAGCATACACTATCACAGAACCACAACCCAGATCCTGCATATAGAAAAAAAAATTAAGAAAAATTTGAGAATACAGTCCCATGACTTCCTTAAACACCATGTAACACCCAGTGGGGTGTGTGAAATGCACTTCCATGAAATGTTTAAAGATTGGATAGCACATTGGGTGAAGACAGAAGGAGCCTGTTGAGTGAGTCCTGGGCCAGGAGGTCATGACTTTCTCTAAATGATGGCTTGGCCAATTGAGCACCATGCCTTGTATCAAGTGAGACCAGAACCTCCCTGTCTCCTGTACCTGCTGAGGGGTACAGGGTCATTTAGGATCATCCTCCCTGGCAGTAGTCACCCTGCTAATACACAGAGAGGTGTTCATCAAAGGCTTAGTGGAAGGAATGGGTGTTTGAAGACTATGAAAGAGACTCAGTGATGCTGTTGAAGTCATAGCTCTACGGTAGGGATGGGATGTCAGGAGCCCAGCCATGGGAAATGATGTCCCAAGTGTATGTTGAGTGAGGAAGGGCACAGTCCTGTTGGTAATGAGATGTGCACAAACAGGAACCATTAACACAGGTGAGCAGGGTGGGGATCTACAAAGAGGAAACAGGAGAACAGCAAACGGGATAGATTAGAAACCAGAAGCTCTAAGCACCTTCAGAAATCCAAGGAGGGATGACAGGTTTTCAGGAAAACACCGCTGGAGGCATAGGATTAGGCTGTCTGGAAGGACAGCTCAGCAGGATTCCTCTCCTAAAAGAAGTGAGAAAAGCCACTTAACCATGACTTGAAGGGAACAGAGCAGCCAGCCAGTTGCTGAAGAAAGGCCAGTGAGGATAGACTTAATTTACAGTCTATCTGTGACCTGGGACCTATATTAAGAAATTATGGCCCCAGCAGTTTATTGGTGAGACATATAAAAGAGTACAGACAAAAGAATAAGGGAGTGAAGTTATTTATGAAAGTTGGCCACAGCTACTTAGGGCATTGGATGACCTGGGTGTACCCAAGAACAATTTGACAGTTAGGGTCTTTGTTCTGTGGTTGCCTGTCCACCTTCACCATCACCTAACATCCACAGGGAACTGTACTACACTTCAGTAGCCTCAGAATATATTATGAGGAGATCAAGCAAAGGACTGAGACAGGCAGAGTATAGCCCATGCCCCCTCTGTAGATGGAACTTCTCCAGCCTCTTGCAGAGCCAAGTCCCAGCTAGTTCCCTACCTCACAACTTCCTGTTCATGGCCCATTCACAGCAGTCCCTACTAAGCCCTTGACATGCAGGAAAATCTGAGCACTTCACCATTTATCTCTTGAAATTTGTGATAAAAGTAAAGGAGGATGGCTAGAGAGATGGCTCAGGGGTTAAGAGCACCGGCTGCTCTTGCAGGGGACTCAGGTTCGATTCTCAGCACCCACGTGGTAGTAACTCCAGTTCCAGGGGATCTGAGACCCTCTTCTGGACTCCGTGGGCACTGTACAATACTACAACATGGGAGCATTTACATACATACAGGCAATATACTCATACACATAAAAAATTTTTTTTAGGTAAAGGAGGAAACCAGGAGTTCAACAGATACATGACCAAATATGGGCAGGGAAGGGAGATGAATTCTATTAGCTGTGTCTTTATTTTCTGGAAACAAATTTCCTTTCCTTTTTATCACCTGGTTTATGGTAGAGCAAAGTACAATTCTGAAAAATAAGACTGTGGAAAGAGGGGCAGGCAGGGTGGTTGATAAGCCTGGAGACAATTTTTTGCATAGTCATATGAGACAGTGAGGTGCCAATTTGGGTCATGAAAGGAGGTGTTTAGCTGAGCAGTCACTGCAATTTTAGGTTTAATAGCACATTGTGGTGATCTCGCTGTCATACTTCCAGCCACCTAGATATAAAGAAATTTAAAAGGAATGACTTCCATTCTTCAGGGTACAGCTTCCCACTCTGAAGAGCTGTGTAGTAACTGCCAGGAATACACAGAGAGCCCCACCCTAGGGGAGAACCTGCTTTCAGTGGAATAAACAAAACGGACCAACAGAAGGCTCTTCTGGAGCCCTTGCTCAAATCTTCTTAGGACACAGGACTGGGAAGTTGAAAATGGTCAAGAAACCAAGTGATACTCTGCCAAACAAGTTGAGCAATTAGGGATGTTTAATTGAATCTGAGGAAGCTGGGTAGACTTGGATTGATTTTCATAAAACATGAAGGTCATGGCAAAATGAACTACTTTGCAAATTTTTTAACCTGTTCCCCAATACAAGCATGAGAATGGAACTTGAAGTCACACTTATATCAGAGTCTTTCTTAAGCTGTGCTGTAGGTGATAGTATCTGAGGTCATAGGTGGTTGTGAAGTCATTCAGAGCTCCCTACTGAAGATGCTGTCAGAGTCTTGCAGATGGCCCCTGGGCCAGGCCCAAATCTGGCAAATACCTTCTTCACACAGTTGCTGAGCTCATAAGGTGACGCTGCTCAGGAACTGCCCACATCAACTGTGGTTCCAGGCATCCAACTCAGTCCTAAACTACATTTCCTAACAAGAAGGTTGCACAGCACACAGCCCACCACTGGTACCATACCTTTCTGCAGGATGTTCAGGCTGATGGGATAACACAGGGATGTCAGGGGCCAGGGTTTCCAGTCAACTATCAGTGTCGCCTGCAACCTTATACCTGCAGTACATTCACTGCAGGCTGTGCTTTCAGGTCACCACCTGCCCCATCTAAGAGTGCTTTTACCCTTCCTAACTGGCCACAGTTACAAAAGGTGTGACCAAGTTCCCATCCTCCCCCACGACTCAATGTCATCTTCATCCAATAATAACTTTTCGTTGAGTCTAGATGTTTAATCTTGGACTCTGCCCTGTGCATTGACCTATCTCTGATAGTTAACCTTGATTGTCAATTTGACAGAATTTAGAATCACCATGGAAATGAATCTCTGGGCATGTCTATGAGGAATTTTCTAGACTAGGTTAACTGAGGTGAGAAGACCCACCCTAAATGTGCATGGTGCCTTTTCATTGTCTGGGGACGTGGGCTGTAGAAAAGGAGAAAGTAAGCTGAGCACCAGCAGATATCACTCTGCTCCCTGACTGTAGATGCCATGTGACCAGCTACCTCAAGCTCCTGTAACCGTGTCTTCCTATCAGGATGGAGGACCCTTGAACTCTGAGCCCAAATAAACCCTTCCTTCCTTAAATTGCTTTGTCAGGTGTTTTGTCACAGCAACTAGAAAAGAAGCTATTAAGCCACCCACTGCTATTTGTTGTTTTAGTTTATTTTGCTTTGCACTGTGTGAGGCAGGGTACAGCTATAAGATCCAGGCTGGCCTTGAAGAACTTGCTTCTCCTGCCTCAGCCTCCTGATTGATGGGATAGAGGCATGCACCACCACAGATAGCTTCATTATTGTTTATTCATAGCAGTAGCTAGCATAACTGATTATGGTAATAATTTACGTGTCTAATATATATGTATATGTATATATATACATGTATATATATATGTATATGTATATAGTATATTATGTTTGTGTTTTAATATAGGTTTTTTTGTTTTGTTTTTTTATTTTATGAGTTTGTGTATATTGCCTGCATGTACATAAGTGTACTGTGTTGAGCAATGCCTGAAGAGGACTGAAGAGGGTGTCAGATCCTCTGGAACTGGAGTTTTGGACAGTTGTTAGCTGCCATGTGGGTGCTGGGATTCAAACCAGGGTCTTCTGAAAGGACAGTCAGTGTTCTTAACCACCGAGCCATCACTCCAACCCCGGGTTTGTTTGGTTTTATTTTTTATGGTCAACTATTTTAATTACAAAATATTCTATTTTCTAAAGAGAAATTAACAATTTCATCTGCCTTTTAGTCAAATTTCAATTTTCACTCCATTTTATGTACTGTATTAATCACTTTTCTGTTGCTGTGATAGAAACACTGACCCAAGCAATTTATAGAAGGAAGAGTTTATTTGCGCTTATGGTTCCAGAGGAATTACAGTCATGGCAGGGAGGCATGGTAGCTGGAGGTGGCTGGAGCAGGAGCAGCAGAAGTGAAACTCTCACATCATCATGCAGGCACAGGAAGCAGAGGGCGACTGGAGATCTGGCAAGACTTAAGAACTCTGTAAGCCCACCCCCAGTGACGTGCTTCCTCCAGGATAGCCACACCTTCTAAAACCTCCCAAAACAGCACCATCATCTGGGGACAAAATGTCCAAATACTTGGAGCCT